TCAAATGAAATTAATAGGCAGCAGGTTTAAAACAAATAAAAGGAAGTTCTTCTTCACGCAGTGCACAGTCAACTTGTGGAACTCCTCACCTGAGAAGGTTGTGAAGGCTAGGACTATAACAGAGTTTAAAAGAGAACTGGATAAATTCATGGTGGTTCAGTCCATTAATGGCTATTAGCCAGGATGGGTAAGGAATGGTGTCCCTAGCCTCTATCTGTCAGAGGATGGAGATGGATGGCAGGAGAGAGATCACTTGATCATTGCCTGTTAGGTTCACTCCCTCTGGGGCACCTGGCATTGGCCACTGTCGGTAGACAGGATACTGTGCTAGATGGACCTTTGGTCTGACCCGGTACGGCCTTTCTTATGTTCTTATGCTCTGCACGCTCGGCAAACAGGAACTGTAATTCAAAAGTTTGTGGGGCTTTTCCTGTCTACCTGGTCAGTGCATCCGAGTTCAGATTGCTGTCCAGAGATGTCACAATGGTGCACTATGGGATAGCTCCCAGAGGCCAATACCGTCGAATTGCGGCCACACTAACCTTAATTCAAAATGGCAATACTGATTTCAGCGCTACTCCCCTTGTCGGGGAGGAGTACAGATATCGATATTAAGAGCCCTTTATATCGAAGTAAAGGGCTTCGTTGTGTGGACGGGTGCAGGGTTAATTCGGTTTAACGCTGCTAAATTCGAGATAAACTCCTAGTGTAGTCCAGGCCTTTGTAACTGATGAGGTATTCCCATGAGGACTGATGAGGGGGTGATGGTAAATACACATTTAGATCCTTTTCTTATTTTATATGTTTTCCCCATAAGGCACACTGGCACGGATCCATAAGATCTGTGCAATGCCCTGGCTTTTAATCCTTGGGAGGTGCCCCTTGAGCGTGCTAGACCCGCAAGGGGTCCCACTCTTCCACAAGGATAGGCCGAGTAGCTTCAACACCTGAGATTGAGCCTCTGGCTTCAACACTCCTATTTCAACCTGTGAGCTCTGCCAGCAGGTCCAGATGAACGACACTCCTGTTCATAGACTGTTCCTCATTCAATGCACAGAGCAAGTTTTTGCTGTGACACTGGGCAGACTTTTAAAACATAGCAGGGTTTATTAGTCAACTGAAACACATCATTGGAAAGTCCTTAGATTAGGACAGGGAAGCAAAGAAGACAATATAGTACATACTGGCCAATGCTCTTGAGCCATGCTGCTGTAGAAAATGGCTTGGTTTTCTTTCACTGTGCCTGTCCATTTGTCTTTGCTCCGGTAGAGCTCCCTGCATCTGCGAGCCCAGTTCTTCCTGCTCCCAAAAACACAACGAGTTCATGTATACTTCACTCAGCAAAGCTGAGATCCTCCCATGGACAGGTGAGAATTATTCCCTTGTCTCTGTTGGGTATTCCATTGATGTACGTTGGTCCCAGCCAGTCCTTAATGACCCATTCATATCACCCCATGACAGCTAGGTGACAAAACACCTGATCTCTCCTGATCTTTATAATCATAGAAATACCAATCACAGAGGGAAACTGAGGTGCATATTGGCATCATACAAGTATCACCAAAATTCCTAGCTCTATTACACACACACACTGCTCACAGCCCTTGGAGAGAAAGCAAAGCACAGGAACTGGACATTAGTCCAGTGAACACAGTGGAGGACAAGCTGCAATCGTCAAACCTTGGTCAAAAAGGAGAGGCATGTAGAGAGGGGCTGGCTAGAGGCCTGATACCTGAGAGGCCATTCCTTGAGCAGACCATGGTGGCAGGTCAAAGGTTTAACTACCCCAGGACTGTGACATCGCAAAAGCACATTTTGGGGAATTAGGAAATCTAGTGACTCAGGTGTAATGGGAGGGAAAATGAAACTCCCCCAGTGTGTGGAGAAGGCTGGGGAATTAAACACTAAAATTCAGGAGCAACAGCCTCTAATTCTTCCAGAAAAGGAGAAAGTAAGAAACAAGAACTGGGCCACGCAACCTCTGGAGGAACAGGCTCGAAGATCCAAGGAGCCTGGAGGTAAGACAGCTTGTGGCTGCTGCGGATGAGGAGAGGGGGGACAAGACTCTCTCCAAACTCTCACTCCTGTTGACCCCGACCTGATTTTATGATCTATGACCTAGTCACATGTCTTGTGGGCAATTTTATATTCGCTAGAGGTAAAATGTCATGATCAGAGTATTTCTTATTAGCTTGGAACATGCATGGAGGGGCAAGGAGGTGAACATAAATAAATGGGTTATTAAGGGCAGGCACTACACTACAGCCGGGATCAAAGCTCTGAGATCGATCCAGTGGTTGATGTAACGGGTCTAGTATAGACCCGCAAAATCGACTGCAGATCGCTCTCCAGTCAACCCCTGTACTCAACCCCTGACAAGAAGAGTAAGGTAAGAAGACCCTGCGGTAATTTGACCTAAGGTACAATGACTCCAGCTACATTATTCACGTATCTGGAGTTGTGTAGCTTAGTTCGACTGACCATGGTAGGGTAGACATAGCCTGAGCTTGCTACAGTTAAGGGCCTTATATTAGGTTGAGGCTCTGTGGGAGTAGTTATGCAGAAGTCTAGGATTTACCTGAAGAGGCCTAAGGAGAGACTCCCAAGTCAGATATTTTGCACCCTCATTTTAAGAGTCTAAGAAGAAACCACAAACAGGTGCAATACACCACAGGATTCTAAATGAACAAAGTTTGGGCGGGCTTTAGCAATTAGGTTGCTATGCAGTATCTCAGCAGTTGGGCTGCAGTCATATATTAGAATAATTAATAAATAAGTGATGTAAATCATGAGTATTAATGCTTGATGGTTAATTATGTACTTCCCGAAGGCCACATATGGGTTGGGACAGCTATTGCCATTATTGTAATCAGAGTAAAGGAGCAGATATGGTATATAGCCATCCTATTACCATAAGAAAGAGGATAAAATACTTTTCCTAGTTACCATTTTTTCATTTTGTTGGGTCCCCGAGACAGTGTAAACTGAAGCAGGGCCTCTCTTCTGATGGGCTCCCTTGCCCCTCAATCTTTGTTTCCAATGATGTCCATAACTTGTAAGTACGCACAGTGCAAAACCCTCTTTACTATACTTCTCTTAGTCTAATCGTTATGTGTATTGATTTTTGCCTACAACTTCAATTATAACTGTCTGTATTAAATCAAATTTCCATGTGTTTCACCAAATTTCATCTCCTCCATTAACTTTGAGTAGCCATGTACAAGGGCAAGCTGTACCCCAATACGTAATCTTATAGGTGTAAAAATTGTACAGGCTACACTACCACCCAGTGACATCATCAACAAAGTGCCCATTTATGCCTGGGTAGCGGCCCCGCCCTGGGAGGAGGAATGCAGCAAGGACTCAGGATCGGTGGCCAGGGTCATTGTGCATAGAGATGGGGAGGTTATATGGGGAGGGGGTAATGAGTCAAGAGTTAAAATAATAATATTTGGGATGGAAATGTCTAATGAAGTGAAACTGAACAGAAATAAAACTGGAATGTAGGCTCTAAAGCAACAAGGCTTGGGTAGGGATTCAGGGTTAAAGGTCTGGGATCCCCCACAGCTCTAGATCCCCAAACCTCTCCTCCCTCCCACTGACCCATCCAGCCCACTTCCTGGGTGCCCTGCCTCCAGACTCCTCTCCTCTTCTTCCCATTACTCTCAGACATTACCACTCCCAGCACCTTGGGAGCTTCTTGTGTTCCCTCCTCGTCTCTCACTACCTCATCCCTCCCTGCTGCTTCTTAGCTTTAATCCTGTACACACTCTCCCCATGTCCTTACACCCCAGAATTATCTACTTCCCCCTTTTCCTCCCCTCCCATGGCTATTCTCCCTTCACATGTGGGGTCCTGAATGGCAACATTATACACTCTCCTATCAAAAGAGGAGCTCATCTGACTGTCACACAAGCCATGCATATGTCATACAGCTATTTATTCAATTTAGAATTCTACAGGCAGCATATTGTCCTCTTAAAATTAGGAAAAGGCATGAAAGCTACAGTTATTAATGTAGTTATTAATGTATCCAATAAGGATACATTAAATGCAATTTTAAAATGACTGATGGCACCAAAAAGGCAGATGTCCAAAAAATATACTAGAGGGTGGGACATAAGGCAAAAAAAGGGGGGCAAGGAAACTTGTCAAAACTTTTATGATGAATAAAAGTATAAAGTTATTACTACTCAGGTTCTTTAGAGACCTCACAGCTTCTAATAACCGAAGGGACAGGAGTCCTTACCCAGCAATACCACCATCCCATGGTTCTCCTGCATGACATCCTTGTAGAGGGCTCTCTGAGTGGGGTCCAGGAGAGCCCCCTCTTCCCTGGTGAAATACACAGCCACTTCCTCGAAAGTCACTGGCCCCTGAAAGAGCAAGAGTCCAACACTCAGTACCTGCTGCCCCTGTCACAACCCCACTATTCACGGAACAGAAGCACCAGGTAAATGGAAGCTCCAGGAGGCACATGTTAACAGAGTCCAACCCCACCTTGCTTAGATCAACCAGGAGGCCTCAGAGGGGAGAAAGAGAGAAACTTTGTGTCTCCCAGCTAACAGACGGAGGCAGGGTTTTCACATTTATCACATACCTACTAGCCAGAATTGTGGAAAATTGATAAGGGAAGCTATTAGAAATCAATGACCGATCAGTGAAAATAAGAAGGAAGTTTTTAAAAGTTAATCCTAACAATGGTAGTGGTAAATTACTAGATGGAAATGGCAGAAGTATCAAAAATAATGCAGAAGAGGTAAAAAAGTGTACAATAAATATTTATTTCCTGGATTTGGAGAAAAACAGATGATGTACTAATTTCATAAGATGTTGACGACGACACTCTTTCCATTCCAATAATAATTCATGAGGACATTAAACAGCAGCTATTAAAGTTAGACATGTTTAAATGTCTGACCCAGTAGCGCCATTCTTATGTTCTTATGAAAGGAGGAGCAGTGGTTATCATCTTTGCCTAACATACAAAAGGTCCCCGGTTCGAAAACCGGCAGAAACAGGTTGGCTTAGTTGGCGGGGGGAGATAGCTCAGTGGCTTGAGTATTGGCCTGCTAAACCCAGGTTTGTGAGTTCAATCCTTAAGGGGGCCATTTAGGGATCTGGGGCAAAAATCTGTCTGGGGATTGGTCCTGCTTTGAGCAGGGGGTTGGACTAGATGACCTCCTGAGGTCCCTTCCAACCCTGATATGCTATGATTCTATGAAATCAGCAGGTCCAGATAACTTGTATCCAAGAGTTTTAAAAGGCCTGGTGGAGGAGCGTGGTGGACTGTTAATGTTGATTTTAATTAGGACTTGGAACACTGGGGAAATTCCAGAAGACTGGAATAAAGCTAATGCAGTGCCAATATTTAAAAAGTATAAAAGAAATGACCCAGCTAATTACAAGTCAGTCTGACATTGATACTGGGCAAGACAATGAAGCAGCTGATACTGGATTTCATTAATAAAGAATTAAAAGAGGATAAAATAATGAGTTTGATTGCAGCTAATAGTATTGATGGATGTAATATACCTAGACTTCTGTAAGGCATATGACTTGGTTCAGCACAATATTTTGACCAAAAAGCTAGAATGATACAAAATAAACAAGGCATACATTAAAATAGATTAAAACCTATTATTGTAAATGGGGAACCGTGATCAAGTGAATTTATTTCTAGGAGGTTCCCGCAAGGATTGGTTCTTGGCCCTGTGCTATTTGACATTCTTATCAATGACCTAGAAGAGAATATAAAATCATCACTGATAAAGTTTGCAGTTGGCACAAAGATGGGGGTGGTGGTAACTAATGAAGAGTCAGTAGATTCAGGCTCCAGCACTGGGAGTCTGGGAAGTTTTCCCAGCCCTGGCTGGAGGGTTATTTCCTGTTTCACAAAGAGGAGAAGTTCTATTCCCAACTCCTGTGCCTTGAAATTAGGCCCTATCTGACACTACATCCCATATTCAGCATAGCGGTATGATTATAATATGATTAGGACATTATTATGATGCATTTTGTGCAAGATTCATCATGTGCGGTATCATTGGAAAATTCATCATTTGCTGAATATGATTATACTATTTGTGTGCATGGATCATGTTTGTATCTGAAGTTATGGATATTGAATATGTATCTATTTCAAATGTGCTTACTCTGGGTAACACCCACAACGAGCCTTTCAGGTACAACAGTGAAGAAGCCAGACAGTGCTGATGGCTCATCAACAAAGACAATGGACTGTGGAAGAGCTTAGCCTTCCTGTGAACATTTCAGACAGCCTATGAGTCACGGCTACTATGAATCAGCAGGGCATGCTAGGGCATGTGACCAGACCACATGACACTGAACTCCATTTTAGTACCTGTATTTTTCCGCAAACTGGACTGGAAACTGAGTTTGCAACAAAGGGTTCCCGCCATGTGGAAAAGCTACATAAGGTGAGGTGTGACATCATCTCTTGGCCTCATTCCTCACACAAGAGAACTCCTGGAAACACCTGAGGAAGAAAGACTTAACTGGGGGAAGTGCTGGTCCCGGGGTAAAGGGATTTCTAGCTTATGTATGGAAACTTGGTGGACGGCTTGTATCATCAGTCAGGGTGAGAAATTCCTAATTCAGATTCTATCCATCTAGTATGTTAGGCTTAGTTTCAGTTTTTGGTTATTTGCTAAGTAATCTGTTTTGATCTGTTTGCTATCACATATAATCACTTAAAATCTATCTTTCTGTAGTTAATAAACTTGTTTGTTGCTTTATCTTAACCAGTGTATTTTGAGTGAAGTATCTGGGGAAAATCTCAGCTTGGTTAGCCCAAGCTTGTTGTGCATATCTTTCCCATATCGAGGGGAAGGTGAACAATATTAATGAGCTTACATTATACAGATCCTTATGCACTAAAAGCTGGTATAATTCTGGATTTATACTACAGCAGGCGTGCAAGGTTGGGGAGTTGGGAAAATGGTTGTTCTCTTCTATCTGTCCTTGAGTGGCTTAGGTAAAACACTCAGGTAGCTTAGTTGGGTGTATGTAGCCACCTGCTGTCGTGTTGGGTGATAACAGGGACTGGAGAGGCTGGCTGAATCTCCAGCAAAACAGTGTGAGAAGGGCCAGCCCCGCTTGAGGGTTAGAGGGCACAGCGGTTCCCAGAAGCCCCCCAGATGGCATCCCAGGGGTGAGAACCCATCACACCCTAGATTACAGAAGTCTAGACTAGACTAGATTACAAAAATCTCAGATTTGTGACATCCTGTCCCCTCCCTTTCTCCACCCTTGATAATTCCTGCCTCCCACCAACTCTAGCAGCTCCCACCCTCCTATACATTTACTGCTCCTCTCCCTCCAAGAAGAACCCATCACCAGCTCCCTAATAATCCCTTACCTGAGACAGCTCCAGTGCAGCCATTTCCTTCCCCTGGGAGGACGGGATGATCTGGAGCAAAACGTGGACGTTATTCTATAGCCTGCCAGGGCGAGAAGGGCAATGTGAGAGAATTCAGAAGGGCTTTTGTCCATTCCACAAGGTGATTCCCGCCAGATTTTTTCTTGCTAATGGAGATTCTAGGTTCTGCCACACTGTGAAGAACAGAGTGACCTTATTCCAGTTCAGGCCTAGCCTCCTCCCACCAGGGTGTAACCCTCTGAGACATGGTGAAACCCTCCCAGTAACAGAATCTCTCTGTTACACTTATCATGTTTGCGGACGGTACCAAGCTGGGAGGGGTTACAAGTGCTTTGGAGGATAGGATTAAAATTCAAAATGATCTGGACAAACTGGAGAAATGGTCTGAAGTAAATAGGATGAAATTCAATAAGGACAAATGCAAAGTACTCCACTTAAGAAGGAACAATCAGTTGCACACGTACAAAATGGGAAATGACTGCCTAGGAAGGAGTACTGTGGAAAGGGATCTGGGAGTCATAGTGGATCACAAGCTAAATATGAGTCAACAGTGTAACACTGTTAGAAAAAAAGCAAACATCATTCTGGGATGTATTAACAGGAGTATTGTAAGTAGACAGAAGAAGTAATTCTTTCACTCTACTCCACGCTGATTAGGCCTGAACTGAAGTATTGTGTCCAGTTCTGGGCGCCACATTTCAGGAAAGATATGGACAAATTGGAGAACGTCCAGAGAAGAGCAACAAAAATGATTAACAATCTAGAAAACATGATCTATGAGGCAAGATTGAAAAAATTGGGTGTGTTTAGTATTGAGAAGAGAAGACTGAGAGGGGACATGATCACAATTTTCAAGTACATAAAAGGTTGTTACAAGGAGGAGAGAGAAAATTGTTCTTCTTAACCTCTGAGGATAGTACAAGAAGCAATGGGCTTAAATTGCAGCAAGGGCGGTTTAGGTTGGACATTAGGAAAAACTTCCTGTCAGAGTGGTTAACCCCTGGAATAAATTGCCTAGGGAGGTTGTGGAATCTTCATTCTTGGGGATTTTTAAAAGCAAGCTGGACAAATACCTGTCAGGAATGGTCTAGATCAGGGGTCGGCAACCTTTCAGGAGTGGTGTGCCGAGGCTTCATTTATTCACTCTAAGGCCTGGTCTACACTATGAGTTTAATTCGAATTTAGCAGCGTTAAATCGCATTAACCCTGCACCCGTCCACACAACGAAGCCATTTATTTCAAAATAAAGGACTCTTAAAATCAATTTCTGTACTCCTCCCCAACCAGCTAGTAGCGCCAAAATCGATGATGTCATTTCCAATTAGGGTTAGTGTGGCCGCAATTCGATGGTGTTAGCCTCCGGGAGCTATCCCACAGTGCACCATTGTGACCGCTCTGGACAGCAATCTAAACTCGGATGCACTGGAAAGGTAGACAGGAAAAGCCCTGCGAACATTTGAATTTTGTTTCCTGTTTGCCCAGCGTGGAGAGCACAGGTGACCACAGAGAGCTCATCAGCACAGGTAACTATGCAGGCTGATAATCGAAAAAGAGCACCAGCATGGACCGTACGGGA